GTTCTGTCTGGTTCTGTCTGGTTCTGTTGGGTCTGTGTTTGTCGTCCTCAGGCTGAGCGGTTTGTCTCCTTTCATGGGCGACAATGACAACGAGACTCTGTCCAACGTGACCTCGGCCACCTGGGACTTTGAGGACGAGGCGTTCGATGAAATTTCCGACAACGCCAAAGATTTTATCACCAACCTGCTGAAGAAAGATATGAAGTGAGAAAATATCTGATTGATCTGTCTGACGCTGACAGCAGGTGACCTGTTGTTTATATTATGTGTGTGTGTGTGTCAGGGCTCGGCTCACCTGTGCTAAGTGTTACGAACACGCCTGGTTGAAACAGGACACTAACACCATGAAGGCCAAGAAGCTCTCCAAAGAGAGGATGAAGAAGTACATCCTGAGGAGAAAATGGCAGGTAAACTACAACAACAACAACAACAGTCACACTCTCAAAGAGAAAATAGTTCCCAGTGAATCTGGATCAATAACAACCAATCACAGTACAGGAAGTGACGATGTGACTGTTTCTTCTTCTGCGGCAGAAAACGGGTCACGCTGTTCGAGCCATCGGCAGACTGTCGTCCATGGCCATGATGGCCGGCGTGAGCGCCAAGAAGGGCTCGCCAACCGAAGGTACGGCAGACAAAGTGTGTTCGTTCCGTTAATGAGCAGCTGTAATAATAATGAATTATAATGGAGCTGTTTGCTCTCATCATCATCTACTCAATTATATTATTAAATGTTCACACGAATTAAACCACAACACAAAAATACGTTGTTGAAGCAACTCAGTTGTTTTGAGTGAACTTCAATTAACTTAATTTAACTTAAACAATAAATACTTGTGATTAACTGTAGATTTTATTTTTGTGACAGGAGAAGGTATGAAAATATATGTCATTATTGTCCCGCCAAAATAACTGTAATTCATTATCCTGTTTATCAATAAAACACACTGGAATCATTTTATATTCTGTTAAGAAACAAATATTTGTATATTTTTATTTAACTTTGAATCCAGAGAATCCTACACATTCCTGCTTTAACTTCAGTGTCTGGTGGTTAAACTCTTCATGGTGGCAGGTTTATGATATTGTATTGACTGTAAAGATGTGGCGCCCCCTGGTGGACATTCCAAATAAATCAGGAAATCAATAAAAGAAGGAAGGTAGATATTTAAAGTTACTCGTGGGGATATTTAGGATTATTCCAATAATGAAAACTCACCACAATAAAATTATCTGAATGTTTTTATCGTTATACACAAAAATACAGTTTATTGTCCCGTTCCTACAAAGGTAAGTCTGTTAAGTTGTTGTTGTTGTTGTTGTTGTTGATGTTGTTGTTGTTGTTGTTGTTGCTGTGTGTTCAGAGGACAACCAGTTCCTGGAGTGTTTGGAGTACGAGCAGAAGACGGAGTGTAAGCCGACGTTCAGTTCGGTCATTAAAGACGTTGAGGTGGTGGAGGGCAGCGCAGCTCGCTTCGACTGCAAGATCGAGGGTGAATATTACGAAAGTTGCCATCGCCATGGCGACGTTATTTCATCACTAAACAAACAGGAAGTGGTAAAAGGGCTGCTCGTGTACGTTAATGTAATTACTCCGTGTGTCTCCAGGGTATCCGGATCCAGAGGTGGTCTGGTACAAAGACGACCAGCCCATCAAAGAGACCCGACATTTTCAGATCGACTACGACGAAGAAGGAAACTGCAGTCTGGTCATTTCAGAGGTCAGAGGTCAACTGTTGTATCACTCAGTGAATGTGTCATTGTGGGTGACAAGAAGAAGAAGAGCCCTGGCTATAAGCTAATCCTGTTTGGGAACCTCTGTGCTAAACAGTTGCTACTGTTAGCAACAAGTAATCAATACTCCCATTATTAAAGCATCAATCAAACTAATACTGTCAGACAACCTGATCAGCCTTTATCAGTCAGCT